AAACTGAGTTCATGCCGGATGCATCCCCTCAAACCACATTCTGATGTACTGCTTTCTTATCTTCCCTCCGACTCAGGTTCCAACATCGCGTTTAGATACTTCATCCTTGACTATCCGCACTTTCCTAATGGCCAATCACGGACATCCTTGGACAGGGTTCCAACAGCTTGGAGAAGGTGGCTTGCAAGCTGTCTACTCTGTTCGGCTTGCAGCTCGTGTTTCTTTATGCCACTTGCTGAATCATCTGGATCACTATCCTATGGTAGGTCCGCTTTTTTATGCTACTTTATAAAGTTCATGCCAGCTGTCTTGTGCCTTAAAACTCGACATCTCAGTCGATATAGTATTTGTTTCGTTGTATTGGTGCGCTGATGTCTGGTTTATTCTTTTTATTGCACGAAAAGTCTTCAGTAAAAGAAAAGATAAGACCCGAAGACGAAACTCCATCAAACCACATCAAAGGAGAAGACAGAAAACTAGAGGAAGTTTCTATAGTCTGAACGTTCTGCAACAGAATAGAAAAGTGCACAGTCCGGTCCGACATCGAGTGTAGTCAAATATAGAGATGTGGAAAAGCAAGAACTTGGCCAGTAAAATTATTGATTTTTTACTTCCACCAGAACTGACTTTCAGGTGGTTGGAGTGTGTTTCATTTATGAGTACCGTTTTAAGCTGTTCACGAGGGAAACTAACCTTCGGGTCATCAGTGTCGGCCGTTGTTTAAAGGTTAAAAGTTCAACAACAGCGTCACTGTGTCAAGCGCGATCCTTTGATCACTTTTGCCACTCGCCAGCAATGGCAGTGATCATATGGATCAGAAAAACAGGCATTATATTCTTATCCCACTCCTTAAAGCAGTAGCCTGAGATAATCTCTTGGGCTGATCACCAGTTTTTCGTTTTCTATCTACTGACACGCGAAACATGTGGCGTTGTCACCAAACAATCCTTTCAGTCGGTATTGACCCAACTTGCCCAATATCTTCTCAAGTACGGAATCGTTTAGCATGGCAGAGGCCAATCATGTCCCGATGCTCATGTGAATCTTCTTTGCAGAGATCACGTTTCCAAACCTCGGACAATAACTAATCACGCAAAAACTCGGCTTTCCTGGGACAGTTCCACACATTCTTTGGCTAGCTTCTTCATACCACACAAAACTCGGATTACAGAGATCCTTTTCGGGGAAGAAACCACTCCCCAGAAGTCCCCGTGACACTTATTACCTTTCCCAATACGGGACCGTATTACTGTGAACATACTGGTTTCGTACACTAATTGACACCATTGGTTTGTTTAGCTTCCGTTTTAGGTGTTCATACGTCCATCCTTTAATGTAAACCGTACCGCAGAATTGTGGTATAGATGTTGAGCGACCTTTGCAATTGCATAAGCCAAAAAGGATCCAGTAGCATATCAGCCCAGTTTCGGGAGTAATTGGGCAAAAACCATCTTGGGTACTCTGCACTGGCCGATTGAGAACGCGACGTTACACAGAATGGTTGTGAAGAACTCGTACCCTGTCCAGATTTCCCATTGAAACTGTCTGACTGGCATTGGTTTTTCGACAGTGCAAAGTCTCCAATTGGTGGTGCACTACCTACTAGCTTTTCTCAGTGATCGAGATCCGTTTTGATTGACAAAATTTCTCGTGAATCTGAAACTTGACGGAGATTCGAATGAGAGGTCCAGGTCGGTGGAACGAGATCCAGCTCGCTGTAAACATTAAGCTGAGTCGTCTGTTCTTGAAGTTTCAGCGAAGCCTAGAAGCGATCCCTGGTAGTGGTTTGCATTTACTCGAAATGAAGCATAGGCCTATAACTAGGCTGACATGTCTTTAGAACTATTTGAGAAAGTAACTTCGATTGTGTCTAGGAATCTAAGCTTCGTTTGCCTGGTTGCTATACACCTGTTTTCCCGGTGTAATCGTCGTTGTTATTGATAACGACATTACGGTTGAACATCGGTAGTTTGCGGTTGCCCTAACAGGTATATTGATCACCCACTATTTCCTTTTTTCTCCTCTAGGACGGGCAGGGAGCGCAGTTGAATACCACCATTCAGGAAACGCATGATCAGGCACATGGTCTTCCGGATGCAGACATGTCAGACGCGACTGAACTAAGTTTGACGACTCTGGAGCAGCCCAACATACAGCTGTTCTCACTCAATGAATCTATCCTGTTAACTTTTCTTTCCCTTCCCATGCCAAACACGGCTCCGGTTACTTCCCGAAGAGCTTCGGGAGAGCCCCAATTCCATCGGTTTCCAATCTCAACCCGATCTCTTTCCATGAAACCGTTTCTGCTCGATCCGCCTGAAAACTCTTCACACTTTGAAGGAGCTCTTGCTCCGACTGACAACTTCATCGAAGTATCAGGTGAGTGATTGCTGACTTGCGCCCATCGATCGCTTGCATTGACATGCATCATGGTGACGATGGCGGCTTTGTTCTTCTTCATGTTTCTCTTTTTCTGTGCGCGCGTGTCTGTGCATAACAAGCGCCTCGTAGACCTAGTCTTATCCTCTCGACATTCTGATACATGTGATTTGTGTGTGGACCCGTCGGTCTATTATTTATTACGTTGGCATGATCATTCTGCGCGCCACTGCAGCTTTGTGAGCCTGTGGTTGGCCTATTTTCATGGGAGTGCACACAAATCTCCTTGATGGAATGTGCCTTCGCCACCTACCAACTGTGGACGTCTACTATGGGTGCACACCTTTCTGTCCATGTAGCTGATGCCCCGGTTAGTTATGGTATTTAGCTTTAGAGCCCATACGCAGTAAGCGTCGCTCTATCTTTTCCGCTATTTTTCTCAAACAACAAACTTAATCCGTGCGTTACTGGGCCGCCGGTTCTTCAAACATTATGTATGCATTTTTTTGCCAACAGCCCACCACCCTTTCTTATCCTGCCCTTTTTATCGCCTATTATTCAAATCTGCTGTGACGCATTTTTGTTCATTCGTAGGACTTCTTATGCATAGATTAGCTAGCTGTGTCAGGTTCACTGTGCCTGGTACGGTTCCCTGTACCTAAGTCAGCAACTGCTTCACTATCAGTGGGTGTATGCAGGAGCATTTGCCTTTTCTGAACTGAGCTGCTGAAGCAGCCGACCGGTTGCTAATTCATCTAACTTACATTCACTCTAGCTGTTTCATCTACATTTAAACGTCCCCGGTTGACCTGGTTTCCCAGATAGATGTATAGTTGTTACATAATGAAACTGGATAGTATGGCTTTGTTGCGGTGACCTTCGTTTTTCATCGCACCTAATTCCTACCGTTTCGCGTGCGCCTGTTTCCACTCTTCCCGGTGCTCGGAACCGATATCTTCTCTCATATTTATTGTTCGACGCTACTGAACTTTATTTGTGTCCTACAAGCAAGAAACCCAACTTATTTTCCATTCCCATTATTACAAAAATAGTTTGGCCGTATGTAAAACTCAATACTCCGAGTACGAATCTAAAGTGGGCATTATCGTGACAGGAAAATTGCTCTACTATGCGTCGTTCGTTTTAACCCTCTATTGAGTCACTAAGTGGGATATTCCCTCTAATGTATGTTTTCTAATGTTCCCTCTCAGGCAATTCTCTATCATATGACCTTTTGCCTGCCTACTCTTGCTAGCAACATTCCTATGACAAATGCCCATCAGAAGTGTCCCCCTAAAGGGCACGATGAGCCTAATGTCCCTGTGTAATTCACAAAATTTTATCCACTCTGACTCCAAACCCATGTTTTGTCATCACAAACTTTGTTGAAACTTTGTTCGAAATCGATAGCAACGTCGTGTGTGTTAAAGGGAGATATTCGGGTATCCGATTATGAGCAACTTCGGACTGATCTTACGAAGACAGTGTTTACATTAGTCGATTACTTGTCACAGATTGGTAGGAACAAGGAGGACACTATTCACTACATCCCGTGTTATTTTCTCGGGGTCAGTACATGTTTGCGTACCCACGTTTTGTTGCATCATTCAATCCCGGCTGATATACAAATGTTTCGTACGTGTTTCTCTGCAGATGAAAAGTGAATGTTTTCCTGATAATCAGATGTGATTTCTCGTTTGTTCCACTTAACAGATGTTCAATATACGCGGATTATCGTTAGGGACTTTGCTGGGAAATATAGTTGGGATTTGTCTTACTTGCATGGTCTGTGGAATGGAAGTGACCCTGGTCCCACCCATATGTCTCCACTGGGAATAGAATCCTCCTCTTCAACGTCTCGTCACGCACCTCCATGTCCACCTCCACGTCTGAATCCAAATCCGCCTCCACTGCAGTCAAGCTTGGTCAGATCCTCCGGTTCCCCAGGGTCGGACCCTTCTGATCCCTCCTCAACTAAATCACGCACAACGCGCGTATTGCTATCATCATCATCCAACCACACTGTGATTTCTAACCAACCCAAGCCGGACGCTTTGGATCAGGTATATTTATTACGATATTCTGCTGCTACTCTCATCTCTCTTTGGGCGTCACCTCCAGTTTCTGATTCCTCCCTCCCTATCAACAGGTGTTTTTGGTCAGAAGTTATACGCATTGCTATCCGTCGCCTACTTACGCCATTCATTCATCTCATTGGTTACCACAGATACAATTGTGCATCTGTTTATGACACCCTGTAGATTGTCTCGGTATATTGCTTAACTATGTTGATTTTGTTTTCCACACCTATCAGAATGATAGGTAGAACTGAGCGTAGTCCGCTACTGATAATACATTTTCATTACTCTCAGCTGATCATCTCCTGAGACAGGATTTTTCAGCTTCAGTAATATCTCAGATAGGAGCTACCCAAACACAGCAATCAGCTCCCAAATCGCTCAGGTTCAAATGACAAACTCTGTAGACCTCATAGGGGGTCAGTCGGTTCCACGTCGCCTTGACCGTACCCCATCTCTCTTTGGGCGTCACCTCCAGTTTCTGATTCCTCCCTCCCTATCAACAGGTGTTTTTGGTCAGAAGTTATACGCATTGCTATCCGTCGCCTACTTACGCCATTCATTCATCTCATTGGTTACCACAGATACAATTGTGCATCTGTTTATGACACCCTGTAGATTGTCTCGGTATATTGCTTAACTATGTTGATTTTGTTTTCCACACCTATCAGAATGATAGGTAGAACTGAGCGTAGTCCGCTACTGATAATACATTTTCATTACTCTCAGCTGATCATCTCCTGAGACAGGATTTGTCAGCTTCAGAAATATCTCAGATAGGAGCTTCCCAAACACAGCAATAAGCTCCAAAATCGCTCAGGTTCAAATGACAAACTCTGTAGACCTCATAGGGGGTCAGTCGGTTCCACGTCGCCTTCGACCGTACCCAGCCAATTCATCGGTTGTCCTCTGGGACGAAAATGATGTCTTGGAAGCGATTTAGAGGTCAAACTTTTAGAGTCGTTCTTGCACAGAAAACGCCCAAATCTTCCAAGGCTTCACCATTTGGGAAGTTGAGGTGAGCTTGATAAACCTTAACAATGTCTCAGTATGTCGTCTTCAGATAGCGAGCCTACTATATTCGTCGAAGCGAAAATTCTTCGGCTTCCGAGTATTTACTGCCTCCAAGGACACACAAGGTTGCTGAATACCCGGGTTTTGTGCCTAAACTAGTTCCATATCTTTCGCTTATTCAGCTGCGGATATGCAGATTACTGTCAGTGTCTTGTGCTTTGGGCTTTATAGTAAATCCGCCACTTATCTTTTCGCAGCTGATGAAAGAACTCTCTGCTAGCAGTCCGGAATGTGCGCTAGAATGGAACTCGAATGTTCAAGAAGACGGAGTGAGAAGAGAAACCGGCTCCCCTTGTTTCAATATGGAAGCAATGACCAATGACCAGATCACCGCTCAATGTCAATTAGATGAGGAAGTTTTAGAACACGCAAACAGGTATGTATTTTTTCCGATTCTCTGAGTTCGCGACCTAATTCGGTAACCCACGTTTTTTCTCCCATTCTAATCTGAGTGTGTAGTTGATTGAAGACGGCTGAGGTTGAGTATACCTTAAGAAACTCGAAATCCACCCTACTGGTTTTATTGGCCATCGCACTTACGGTTTAAGCCGTCACTTGGCAAACGTTGCTCTTGCCTTTTGCCCCAAAGAATATTCGACAGTCTCCTCCCCACTCCTTTTTTACCATCTGTTTTCCTTGTTTGGTTATGCGTGTCCGTCTTCGAAACACCCTTTAATTTTCATACCGCGTGTCCCATTCCATTGTTACTAATGGGATTTCGTTACAGCACTAAGCAGATCATCACTAGTTATGGTAATCGCCGAACCATGACTTACTTTCTCTAAGTTAAGGTCAGATCATCGAGTACGATGAACCCTCTTACACATGTCCCTCTGTGGTGACTCGTCTGTTTTGTAGATTCTGGTGATCGAATTCCCTCCCGAAAGCAGTTTATGGAGTCAAGTGCAAATAACGGAATAACTCAACCATCCTTCTGCGTAGTTCCATTGATTGTCCTGGCGCTTTTTATTTGTTTCGTACAGTCGATCTCACTCAGAGTGACGATGCCTGTTCCCAGAAGTTAGGTTACCGCTTATGAAGTCCGCCTTACCGCCCAAATACTCAAGCTCAGACAGAAATGCAACCATTTTCCTCGGAAAAAGCTGACTTCCCCCTAAACACCTACCACACTCCCAAGAGTCCATCCTATGATTCACAGATTGTACGTATGACTCTGTCTATAGTTATGTATCGCTTCTGTCGCTCACTTCTCAGTTCCAATCAGTGCTGGTCTGGTTATCTTATATAGGTATACCACCTGTCTTGCTAATGAGGTATGAAGGTGGTCCAAATCCCATCAATACAACCCGTCTTCAAGAGTAAGGTACACTTCATCCTCCTTATGTCTAATAAGGGTTGCAAGAATCAATATCAGTCACCGTCCTTCGAGTTTTTAGAGCTACGAATGATCCAAAATGATTGTGGCTTCTTCCTCTTGTTCAGCGTTTTTTTAGAATAGAATTAGCATGATTTTCGGTAATAATACAGTACTAAGGTGACCAAGCCAACACTGATTTTTATGTCCGTGATGATACTTTGGTTCCCCCCCTTTTATTTTGCTCCAGACAGTTTCAGTCGGCAGCAGCTGCTGCCGATGATAATTCAACCGGCACTAGAACTGGTCGGACCAATGCCAACGCATCAATCTCCACTTCCGGTGTTTCCCCTCGAAATGACTCAACCTCCATGCCAGATCAGTTTGCCGTCTGTCGGAATTTGATCAATCAGTTGGGTTTCTTATCCTTCGAACGACGCCCCACAATTGAACTCGTTCAAAAGTCTGCAGGCCTCGTGCGAGATTTGAAGCATTTGGACAAATTCGGCGTGTACGTTTTACATCTCTTGTCCGCTGTCCATCACTTTTCTGCTACCACTTAACTCCATTAGTGTAACACCATTCTGCACGCCAAATGGAGTCCTGTTACGGCACTTTAGCTAATCTAAGTTTCTACATTTTATTGCTAACACAGGGAGCCAGCTTGTTCACACATTTCGTATTTGTAATTTGAGGATAGATCCAGCTCGAAGTTCCGCTCGTTTTCTTTGGTCATTTGGCCCATTTGATTTGAATCAACTGTTTTCGCAAGTCTGTACCCTATTCCGTCCTTCATCTGTTGCCGTTTCCCTATGATGCATGTTTTTGTCTTGTGTGGGCCCAATTTAACCGGAGGGCTGTCATGGGCAGTCTTCGGACAACATTTTCGCAACTCACAGTTGGCGTAGTTACTCCTGCGATGGATCACAACAGTGACAATATAACTAGTTGCCACCGGAGTAAGCATGTTTTTAGTGAAATCATTTGTACACTTCGGTGACAGTCTGAGGCATCCGAGTTCAGGCGTTTCGTCCTGATAAACTAGAACAACGACAGTAGTAGAATAGACTAAACAGGCAAGATTGTCATCACTATCCTGCCAGGTCCCTGAAGCACATATTTTCGTGTTTGACTGTGAAGTAAGCAAGCATACTGACTCCCAAAGATACCTTTGTAACTTGTAGTGTTATAATTTCGCTTGAGTTTGCATAAATCTTCATATTGTTAGCTAAATTTATGACCTTTGACTGATTCACAAACGTGGTCTATAGACCGATCTCTTGATTGTAAAGTCGGATAAGGGCACTTTCAAACAATTCTATGCCCGCACTTCCCTGCATGTCCTCATAGCCGGCTTTCTAGATAAATCGGTAGCCTTTCCCATACTGAATACAATAATCGCCTCAAAGGGACGACATGGCAGATAAAAAATTGGCAGGTCTTCGTCAAGGGAGGGGTTATTTCGCACTAAATCCTGGCCCTTATGCTACTTCCGGAGAAAGGACCACCCTTGGGGAACTGCTACTGTTGACCCAGTAAGTGAAGCCTATCTATGCCGAAAGTCACTGTACAACTGTTTCATTCTTATTGCAAATTTATCAGCAGTGCGTATCTCACGAAACCCGGAGAGTCCATGGCAGATAAAAAATTGGCAGGTCTTCGTCAAGGGAGGGGTTATTTCGCACTAAATCCTGGCCCTTATGCTACTTCCGGAGAAAGGACCACCCTTGGGGAACTGCTACTGTTGACCCAGTAAGTGAAGCCTATCTATGCCGAAAGTCACTGTACAACTGTTTCATTCTTATTGCAAATTTATCAGCAGTGCGTATCTCACGAAACTCCGGAGAGTCTCGAACTCGCGATACCCAAGTTAGTAGTTTGAACACTTGACCGTTCGACCACGAACGGCTTATCAGTAGTGTGTACAATGTTCTCGGCTTTTCGGCATAAATTAGATTCACTTACAAGGAACAGGGTAACGTTGGGGCCTTCTCATAATGCGGTGCTTCTTAGTCCTTCATATCGCTGTGTCGTGTATTCAAACAATATTATATTGTAGTTGTTCTGTAAGCCCATTTATATGCTTGTGTGTGTCATACTGATTTCTAAGTTTCCCAGAATGCTTGTGGCTGAAGAGTAGCCTTTACATCTCGCTTTATATGCTGTAATTACACCTCCCCGGGATTATAAAGTCGTAGTCGTTTAACCAACGTGCATTTCTACTGTTTCTTCCAGCGGCGTACAGAATCATTCCCAACTCCATAAAAGTAGTGAATCTATGCTTCCTACGAATCTCCATTTGTGCTAGTCCCGCAAATTTGGCTCCAGTTTATCCGTAACAGTACTTGAAAACATCTTATCTCCCGGGACCAGGGGGTTCCTCCGATAGGTTCGGCTGCCAAATATCGTTTGCAATCGAATGTAGTAAATGTTCGTTCTCCTCCCTACTTATTGACTTTTCACTGTCCTTTCATGAATTTGATAGACAACGGGTCCTTGTTGTCCGGTGAATCCGCACTGATACGATGCCGTTACTCAACGATTTTTCCCCATATACACACCACCCCATTATAGGTAAAACTTGAGGTATCTTGGGATCTAATCACTGTATATCGTGCCAGCATCACTCTGTAGTTTTATGTTAAGCACTTTTTGGAGTACAAGATGGAAGAACTGGTACTACCTTGGTCGTACCAACTTGCTCACGTTCTATTGATACTTGATGGACTGCTTAGAGTAGTCCTCTCCGATAAATTATTCCTCAGTTGATGGTCGTAGAAGTTGGGCGATAAGTTGTCAACAAGTTATGCAATGTATGACCAAAAGGCTCGCTTGCGTTAACAAATATGCCCTCGTTTGTCTCCTAAAACGAAATGTCGTAATAGTATCAGATGCCAGTGGGTACACTTCACTTGCTTTTACACGCACATATCTGTCACCCCCCCCCCTCCCACTTTCTTCATCGGTCGATGAGGCGGTAAAAACCAGTTCTGTACACGACCGAATGTGGATAACTGTCGGTGCTGACCTCGAAAAAATAAGCCGCTAAGTCAGAAACTAGGCGTAATATTAGGTACAGTAGCAATGCGTTCACGCATTCTCATTTCTGACTAACAGTCACGTGTGATATTAACTTGGATGACTGGGTTGGTGTGGTAGTGTTTTCTTATTGATTACGAGTCTCAGAACGAATACTCCTCACCTATAATCTAAAAGAACTTCACTTCTTTGTTCCTAAAAAGTTACACATACATCACCAGTGGAACTTTTGTTCGTTTTCTCAATTGCATTGCAGACGAGAAACTCACAAGATTGCAGTGTTTTACGTCGGAGCCGGGCAAGAGGACAAACAGTCCATTCTCTCCAACCAAACGGCTAGTTTAGAGTTTGAAAATTTTCTGGCCGGTCTCGGATGGGAAATCGATTTGTTGACTCATCGTGGATTCCGTGGAGGTCTGGAACGCAGTGGTCGTGCTGGGAACTCAACACCCTACTATGCTACTGCGACACTCGAGGTCATATTTCATGTATCAACTCGGATGCCTTCTTCGACGCAAGAAGACTTGAAAGTTAGTCGTTTATAATTTCTCACATGGTGTCTTCGCATAGCCATGTGACACAGCCAGCTGATGTGAAAGTGTACAAGGAAAATTGCCTCTACTGACCAGGTCGAGAACCTCTCCATTTCATGTATCTGTCGTACCTATAGGCTTTATAGTGTCAGAATCGATCAAAATATTATTCATTTGCAGTCGAGGTTGGCAGTGGATGAAAAAATAAGTAGACAAACCATGCTATGGCTATCTTGCGGTTAGAATTTCGAAGGAATGATGTTTTAACAACGTCAGCTTGTCTTGTAAGGAGTTCCATTGTCACTATTTGTCGCTTTCAGCATTTGAACGTAGTTTGTATTCGAGCATTTTAGTAGTGATTTCTTTTGTGTGTGGCGCTCCAAGCTGGCTTTGATTGGTGGTGTGTTGTCGGATTCATCCTGGATTCTTGTTTCACTCTAGCCATCGTTAACGGCTCTTCGCCTTCATTCGTCCGCTTACGAACTGCGATTGGCGCTTCTTGTGGGCTAGTTAAACAGGAAATGATATCAGATAAGTCTATTAGAGTGTGGAGCACGCCAAATTAGAAAAAAGGAATACACTTTCACTAATTCTCCATTCTACTAGTTCTTGAAGCCATCGCTGAGGCGTAGCATCTGATGCCAACGTTATGGTGGATACCCACGGGTTCGTCTAGTGACGGTGTCTAGGTTAGATATTCAAACTACCAGCCGGGGACTCGCGAGTTCGAAACTCTAGATTTTGTGGGATGCACTCTGCTGATGTTTCCCTATAAGGGCGAGAGGTGCGTGTTGTTCCTCGGCTTTTCAGCATAGATTGACATTAATTACAGGACGATAATTTCCCAATCTCACACTCCCAATAAGGTTTAGGTAGCACTGAACTATCGTTCATTTGACACCGGATTTTCTTCGCAACCTGCGCTTCACGGTCAATACTCTTTTCCAGATCGCTCTCATCAAAGCCAACAGTGCTTGTGAGCTCTATGGGCACTGTTGGTGCTGCTCTTTGCTTATTTGGTCAGTTGCCCGTGCATCAACTCCCATGAGGTTGTCTAAAAATCATCAGTTTACCGGAGACCTGAGTTCGAAAACCTCGTTGATAGAGTTGGAATTCAAAACATCATTTTATGAATACAAACTCTTAATGTATTTGTGCAGGTCACTGCTGTTTTCTCGAATATGTCCTAAGTGTAAACTTTGGGTAACCTTAGAACAGTCCAACTACTATTCATTTGCATAGTATCCATCAATCGTCTGTGCTCTCGTTCTTGTTCAATACACCAATTACAGTATAAGCACTTGGGAAACGATGAAGTAATGATCATCTGGACGGAAAATGCTCGCGCTTTCACTCGGAGCGTATTGCGGACACAGTTCGGCGATGTGCTCATCATCATATCACCGCTATCAACCGGACTCTTCCGGGTCGATGTCCGACGTGAATCAATGGTATGTTTCGAAGACTATCGTACCTTTCCTTTCAAACGGCTTACAGTATTATTTTTTCATGGACATAATTTTTAAATTTTATGAAGTATTTGCTCTCCCTGTCCTGCGTAACGTGGACTGGTTCGTACATTTATCGTGCAACTCCATCTGAAGTTTGATTGAGGTAGTTAGCATCCAAGAATATCGACCACGGGGACCACGGTCGCGTCGCGGTGGCCAATGGCCAGGGGGGCCGAAATCATCAAATATCCCAGTGTGAATAGGACAGAGGACGGTGCATGGAGAACGACGCGTGGTAGCGTGCGGTTACCAGTCGGCAAGAGTCAGAGAAAAAGCTGTATTGGGGACGAGAAATGGATAGGTAGTTTCGTTACTTTCGGGTGCCGGACGCCACCCAGATATAAGTGACGTTGCCTTTTCCAGTGCGTGGTGTGGGTATGAGGGCCTAGTTCAGCCCCGCAAAACTTTTTTCATGGTGAGAGTACTGCACACATCTAAAGGCCACATCCTAGCGTACAAGTTTACAATGAGCGTTTTTTTTTCATAAAAATGATTAGGAATATCCAAACAGAGGAGGAGGAAACAACTGCAGCAGCGAGTATATCGGGTGAGGTTTACTTGATGCATGAACGAAAGGAATCAGCTAAGGGTAACGTTTGGGTCCGACAGCACTTGTGCATACGGTTCGGTAATCCATGCTGTTGATGAAGATGAATGAAGCAATTAAACTGGAATTCGTATCATACTGCATTGTATACATTGATCAGTTTTCAAATAGTCGAATAGACTGCAAATGTATGCATAGTTGCTGTGAAAGAATAGGAAACGATCTACCCTGGTTGAATAATATGAGGTCAAGTGATAGAAGACGCCAGAAGTGAAGCTACTGGAGTAATTTCCTAACCGCCCCTCGACGGAAGGTGACCTGCAGTGAGATCGTTGTTTACTTTCCCAACTTGTTGAAGAATGTTACTAGAAAGCCCCGTTATCCACTCACATCTCAGTTTCTATGTGTGACTTGGCTTCTTGGAAAATCTTTTTTAATCCATTGAGAAAGTATACTTTTTGCACATCGCAGTTGACTGAACTGTTCCTTGCCAGGAAGCCTTTGCATGACCAACCTTATTATCTAAACCCATTCTTAGGTGGGATTCTTTGGACCGATCGTTCACAGCGCAGTGTTGGATGCTTGCGTTCTTCCGGGTCTCGTGCGGGCAACAGCGATCAACGCAAGCCGTGCCATTCGGGCTGTAAACCCTGGCTATCGACCACAGTATCCTTTTCGTTCATTGTAAACCGCAAACTGTATTGTCTCCCACCTGTTTACGGGATGCTATTTCTCATTGATAGTCTTTCCCTGACGTATGCTCACCACAACCGGCATTTTTTGTCCAGACGTCGTCTTGCTAAGCTCTTTGGCGTTTTTACCCACCATGCTGTTGACCGTAAACTTGCTAATTTCCAGTTATCCAGACAGTTCTTAAACGCTGAATACGAAGTGCCAGAAGGTCATGGTAAGGCCTTCAACTTATAGTTCCCATAAGATCTGGATGGACTGCAGTTCATCTGGAAAATTGAGGGGAAAATGATTGTCGTGAACAATTTGTACGCAGACTCTCTACCCAGAGACGGAACAAAGAAGGCGAACGGTGCCGATGTGTGTATGTACATTTTGTTTCCCTTTTAAGTCGAAATGGTTTGCAGCTTGCCGATGTAGGTCACTCAAGGCTCGGCAATATACTTTATGAACGTCAGTACCAGCAGTGAAATCATGAGGGAAGTGTCTGCTTAAACGTGACCTCGGGTCGCCTGCTTGCTAGGATCTGCAGCATCGAACACGCTTTTTGAGCTTTTTTATCACCGTAGCCTGTTAATATTGGTCGCGGTGTCTTCTAATCCATAGTTGTAACAATGCGGTCACAGCAGTGCCATTCGGGTCATCTTTCCGGCCACTGTCCTTGACCTGTTATCTCACAGTTATGAGGAACGTGCTGCCAGTCTGAAGCAAATCATTTCTCGGTACGCCGTACGCAGCTGCTTCGAAGATTTCGCTCAGTCTCTAGTCTTGCCTTCGCTGCCTCCAGGTGAGTCACTTCCCCTCGTTCGCTACAGCCCTCACTTTAGAATTGCAATTTTAGTGCAATGGGGCATACCCCCGGTCACTGATAATCCCAATGGGTTCGTCTGCTGTTTAGTTTGTTGATCAACCTGAAATTTGTCATTGGGGTTTTGCTGATTAACACCGGGAGCTTCACAGCTAATTCAGTTCCTGATGGCCATCTGACGAAGTGCGGTAGCTAAGACTTAATCAAAATTACCTAAGCGTACCTGGGAACAGCTACAATTATGTGTTAGTTTGTGCTTTTCAACCTCGTTCATGTTCTTTCGGAAGTGGGAACTGCCCGCCGCCTGTTAACTGGAAGTTTTTAGGTAGAATGTTGTGAAAATGGATTGCGTGAGCTTTCACTTATATGTGCCAAATTCGGTATTCATCCGTCAGCTTTAAAACAGAGTGAATGTGTAGTGGAAACTTCCTGACACCTACTTAGCCCCATAGACCTATGAAAAAGTAGCGGTTGGGTCCGACAAATACTCATTTTCTCATTTTTTCACGAGATAACTGAATTTCTCTCAATTCGGGTTCAAGTAGAAATTAAGGTTGGCGGAAACTCGGAGACTGCTCCGGCCTGAAGGGCGAAACCGGTTGAGCTTTTGGAAAGTTTTGAGTAACTTTGTGAGTCGTTCCCTTCATGAAAATGTGCCGTTTGTGTTTGTTTCTGTATCTCTTTCATCCAAACTGGTTTGTATCTTATCGTCATCGATCGATTTTTCATGCTTCTCATGGCGCTGCCCGTTCGCTTGCTTCCATTGTTCACTACCGCCTCGGATACTTTGGGTCTGTGAATCCCGTTGCCCATAACAACTGTCCTTCAAACGACATGGGCTATTCTCAAAATATGATGATACTGTGTTTGTCCAATTCGCTGTTCCATTGTGTGATGATTTTTGCGGGCCAATGATCTCTCGACCTAACTATGTTTTCCTCACTTTCGATGCAACCATCCAATGAGCTGTTTTCTTCCATACGGTAATTTTGTCAATTTTCCATATGTGTGTATCGGAGCAGCTAATAAAAGGTGCTCTGATCAGTGGACTACGGCAGCGCTTTTCACGTCCTTTTGTGCCAGTCTTACTGCTTTAGACCAAGTCCTTGTATCAGAACCCCGGTTCCGCCTGAATGATAGTGCTTACGCACAACAATTTCCCCACTGTAAGTGTAACTTTAGCGTCATAGGCACGGTGCAAGGTACTTTCAACAAACCGATCCGTAAGTCAGGTCTACCTTTCGCCCAGTTTGACCAAGCTCATCCGACTTGTCCCATTATGTTAGTTCCCATTTCGGTTATGCTCTCGAGCCCCCTTAGTTTGTGGTTAGTTTTCACGTTTTTCAGCTCGTTTTCTACCGTTTCGACTACCTTTCCGTTCATCTAGATTCTATCATCTCGGAACTTCTTCAACAACAGCCTGATGGACGAGAGATTCTTGGGGGCAGCTTCCGCATGCCTGTCCAAGAATCTTATCCGCGTCAACATCCTGGCCACCATCAGAGCCTTGCTGCACCTTTCTCCTTCACGTCCAATGTTCCCCAGCATGTTTCTAGCTCCCGTGCAGCTAAAAGTAAGCTACGAGGTGGGATTTTGCCCTTGAGGGCTTTGTCAGAATACCGGAGACAAGTCACGGGTGTATATTGTACTGTCTGCTCACTGTCAATAATCAACATTTCATACATTTTACACTCCCGAGTCGAATTACCGGTATATATTTTCTGAGCGTGCCACTACTTTATATGTGGTTATCCGATTTTAAAGTACAGTCGTTCAAGGTTGTCGACCCGTTTTAGGAAACCAAAATCTGTTGCACAGCGTGCTAAAGTTTGTGGAAGGTGCTCCTCATGTTACGTTACACTACGTTATGGTAAATAGCAGTTAGTGTTTATGGAATGTAACTGATCCATATTCGCCTACCTGACGAACTGACCAAGGGGGCGAATAGTTGAGGCTTTGGGAATCTGACCATATCTTTCTTTAAAGAGTTCAAACTGTTGCGAAACTCTTTTCTGGTAACGTCGAAATAGGGTTAGTTGATGGTGTGCGAGTTGTTCTAAATTCCCCATCCTGTTCTGCGTTGACGAATTTGTAGTTTACCCACCGAGTATGTGAATGTCATAACATTTCCTGAGGAGCGATCTTTGGACGGCACATAATGATTGACTCGTCTCCAGTTCAGTGTAAATTATTGCTTTCAAACTGATTAGCCTGGCAATACGGTACCATATTCCACAGTGTGGTTAGCCGACAATGGAGAATAGACTACCTTATGAAAAGAGCGAATGTTCACCGAACTATGCTTAGCTGAAGGTAACAGGTCTACTGATTTGCAGCCCAGGAAAAAAGCATCCAGCTGAAAACCCATTCGTAGTGCAGACTGGGACACTGCTTTACAAGTCTGTCTTTACAGATGCGCCTGCGTAAGTGGCATTTGAGATTTTCTTACTGACTTCTAACATTTGCCCTTCTCTTGTAAACGCCGCTTGTTTTCCCTCCCTCTCTACCTTGTCCATTCGGTTGGACAGCATCCATACTGCTGTTTCTTTGCTGCTCTGCACGGTATCAATTTAGGTCCGTTCGTTTGAGCTCTAAACATGTGTCTAATAAGTTCGCCGCTCACCCTGCTATTGGTTGTTGGGGACTTATCACTGCTGTCGGTCGCTACTATGCGCTCTTGGCTTACATGGCAGTTTTTGCAGCATCTCGGTTTTTAACTCTATTCCTGTGTTTGGAGAAACTTACGCCCCGAAAAAAAGACCACTAAGTTGAGGGATGGTCCTGCTTGATAGAAAATATCCTTTTCCGACGCTCCGAAGAGTATTATCACACAACTATGTTTGTTAACGACGTAATGTAACACTGAAGCTGGTTCTTATTAGACTGTCAGTAAAACAAGCAGATCCCCATAGGGTCCAGCTAGACCTAAAACCTAGTACAGGTCATTAGGTCTATTGGCCACGTCACTTGAGGCAATAAATTGTGGAAGACCTAAGGAATGTGAACATAGTAATGTTATAAAAAACACTGGCAACATGTGAACCACCGGTTGAGGTTCTGTTCCTCATACGCCAGTGTACTAAGTCGCTCTTTCTCATTATCTTCGTGACCCCGCCCTCAGGGTTGAGGTGAACCCTTGGATGCAAGTCGTGTTGGTAAACTTTTCACTCCCCACACAGTGACATCATTTGACCTCCTAGTAGGATTTTCTCAGTCTTACGTGTGGAGCCCGTTGAGCTAAGGATCCCCGTATAAAGTTCCCAAGGCATCGCAGTTTGTTGTGTGCAATGGTCGCACTCAGAGCTTCGTTGGACCTTGATGCAAGAAAAAATGGTCACCATTACTCACGAGATGTTTCACGTCGTAATTACACGATGATCCGCAGATATCGATGGTCCGAAACCGTCATGCGTTGGAAATCTTCGGTAGAAGAGGATCATGTCTCACTTCCAAACAGCATGTTTAGAAGTATTGTCTGTGCAACCCTTTACGGCTCCAAAGGTAATCTAAATTTTCAGATGCTTCACAGGCTTCCGCGATATGATGTTTTTGCTGAAACCCGGAAGTGAAACAGCTCCCCAGATAAATCTACTTGTCAGTAACTTATAGCACAAATAGTGGGACCAGTTCCTTTGATTCAATTAACAGCACATTGTATTTAGGATAGCCGAATTGTATTCTCGCTGTTGCTTCCAGGTCGGTCTACTTACCAATCGTGGTTTATTACAAAAATATGTACTGAAAGGGGAAAACCCAAGGATTGTACATTGGAAACGTGGGTCAAGGGGTCGGTGAGGTGAGGTGAAAGACTATGACTGTAGCTACCCAATTCTAATTATAGTGTTTCTGGATTAAGCTACTTGAGTCCTGTCATCTTCTCGTGCTTACCGTTGATCGAGACCAATCGCCAAAACCATCCTTCATGTACAGTCTCTATCAGGTGTTTGCCTGTTGTACGTAAGAATGAGGACAGTGCTAATCGTGCTGAGGTTCACATCGTTTGCAGACTAAGCGGCTTGGAGAACAGACTAAGTATTATCAGTAAACGATTGGATGTAAAATCGGAGGAGACATTCTCCTTCGAATTCTGGAAGCTGTTAGGCCAAGACGCACGCCGAACACACAAATGCATCTTGTGACAGAGTGTCGACCTGGTCACATTTTTGAATGACTGTATTTGATATTGAACGATCTCGGTGTGTGCGTGTTTCAAATAATCTAGGGAAGATTGGTGTCCCCACATACTGTGGACTCAAAAATCAACTAGGTCTCCTGTCTACATTTTCCATCAAGTCATCCAGACAAAAGCACGCAAGGTGGGCTAACATGTCGGGAAACTAACTGGAAGCTCAGAGTGTTGCGACTTCTTGGATTTTATCACAAAGAGATCATTTCCACACAAAGCACTTCTATTAGCTGGCTTTAGTGAGTGTTTCCAGAAAGTAACACGATAGTCTCCACAGCAACTAAAGGCAGTAGTGTTCGGGTGTCTCTAAGTGAATTTTTAGCCCCACAAACACTTCGGGAACAATCTTGCATTTATGTGGCTATCTACACAAAGCCGCTTGTCGTGAAAGACAGATATCCCCCAATACATAGATTTCACCATCTGGTCGTTGTTTGGTAGGAGTAGTGCGCCACAGTAACGCACAGAGTGATTCCTTTCGAAATTTGAGGATGACACAACGAAAATTATCGAAAAAATTGTCCCATGGGACTGGATTGAAGCGGTCTTGGTCGGGGCGGTGATACCTCTTGATGGCCAGCCATTGAAAATTAGCTGGTAACAAACGAATTACCAATCTTTATTTACAGTAATTGCCACGCTCAAACGCCCTTTTATTTCATAAGCCTTTGCTTTTTTTGCTTTGGTGCTTTGATCTAATTTTCCATTCGCTGACTTTCGTGTAGAATAATTAACAGTCATTCCTTGTCCAGTTATTATTATGTCCTGTAGTGTTTCCCTTTGGCTTGGCTTCCCCTCCGCTGTTACATCTTCTCCCCTTCGTCAACCCTCCATTGCTTCTGAAATGACCTCCCGTCCTCTTCTGCTAGCTGGGAGTCTTTTGTACACTCTGACCTAACACAGTTACACGAAGGACGGTGTCCAATCGCTCTCAGCTTCCTGTGTGTTCTTCGCTGCTTTGCAGCACGAAGACCGTTTCTGACTCGCTTTGCGTCCTGTTTCTAGTACAATTTATCTATGGTTGCCGTGGTTCAGGAAAGTTTCAACAGATTAGGTAACATGGATTTTAATTCACGAAATGGTTCGCATGTTGATTCATCTGTTGAAGTGGAACTGAAAAATGCTTCCCCGTTCGCCCTCACCGCGCCAACTGGGTGGCACATGCTATTCTCCCGCCGGTCGCATATTTTTTACAGGTAGTCAAGCCTTATAATATGTTGGTTCATAGATGGTTTAGGTACTCAGCTTTCGCAAAGAAGCGGGTATCCCGTCCACGAAAATCATTCCTCGCTACCATAAGCCGAGATGCTTCGCTACATGTTTAACGGGTTGACTGAAACCCGGTTATTTTGCCTATTTGGTGAATCCCAAATAGAGTAGAACCGATAGTAGTGCTGTCTGTGAGGTTTGGCCTAGCTTCACATGCCGTTTGTATGGAGACTGTCTATGTTCTCGACTCCGGCGTATCGCTTCGAACTCAAAATTGATATATGTTGTAAACGATTCGAACCTCTGAGTTTCACACGTTAGCTTTCCTGTACGATGACTCTGTCTCAGACTACAGGGAAAACTAGTTCGAGTCGGTACAACATAACTTGGTGGAAGTCTACGCAGCTGTAAGCACCATTCTGTGGAATATTGTTTTCCTCAAAATGTCTTATGAAGGCACTAAAGCCGTGAAAAGAGACTGGCAATTCGGACGTATGCATCTCCTTCTCTATTGAGTGAATTGGTACATAATCTGGGTTTGGACGGTTCTGTTAGGTGAGTTTATGTCCAATGTTTGGGAGTAACTAAACATTTCGCGGGCGTAACTTTGCCAGTTTCCCTGACTGGATGTTCTTCACGCGTATATGCGTTCATTTTACTTCGGGACTTGTTGCTTAGCACATGTTGAAAAACCTTGACAAGTCCCCTGGGGTTCTTTTGTAAGTGACGTTTTGGACTCTACTCTCCGATTGTCAGTGTTCCGTAAATTCGGGTTGGCATCGCGTCTATAAAGGTAGCTGAATGCGACCGTGTCGACATGTCATGGACTTTATTCACCGCTTCTTGCTTATCATCAGGTATTTGAGTTGAAGCGACACTGCTAATCATACGATTAGACGGAAATGTGTGTATCTTGAAAAGTGAATGTTGCTTTTTGTGGTGCTTGCCGTTCATGCAGGTCGTATGGTTGTACAATATCTTACACGCTTTTTGATCTCTGATCACAAATTTACACTGTTTTCTAACCGCCAGTCCTAACCTAACCTGACACGATTCAAGCCACGCAGAACGGTACGTACCCCGTCTTTCCGCTTTTCTACAGTGCCTGACCGACTAGATTCTTGTTTGCTTGCCTACCTGCTTACTCGCTTGGTCGTAAACTCACATCATCGGTATTTTTCCTCTCTGATACTCATTTGATCGGGTTGACAGCATTTGGATCGGTTGCTTCGATCGAGCAAGCCTTTTTATGGCTGCATGCTGAGCTAAGACGGTAGTCTGGTGTCAGTGAGTGATCGTTGTCATATTTATAGTCAAGCAGTTAGTTAACTTTTGTGATTTTCCGCGTTCTACAATCAGTTAATGTTTTCTAGCATGCGGTCCTTTGGCTGTGATGTGCAAAGTCAGATTACCTGGTTCCTCTTTATTTTTTTCTTCGAAATTTTTGTTGTCAACTGCATGTGATGATTCTGGTGTTTTTCGTCTTGTTTGTATAACTACTTTTCACCGCGATTCTATGAACCTCCAAATCACCTGATCGCGGTCGACACTGCACCTGTTGGGATGACTTCAGATTTGCAGGATATTTTGGTCAGTTTTCGTAAAATGCCTTCCATTCCTGGACTCATATGTCGTTTCGGGCACCTTCGATACAGTTCAGCTGTTTTCACAGCCTTTACGAAATGGCGTTCTTTAGTTCAGTATGATGGTTAGCGCTTTTGTTCCCAGTCCGGTTTATCACAGTCTTTTAGAAATCCAGAATAGCGAGGTAATTGTTCTGCATGCTGGTCTTCACGATCGCATTTTTTTCCGTGTTCGCCAAAGTAGATCATCCATACTGTCACGGTGTATGTTTTCCATGCTACTTTGTTCACTGCGGGCACTGATACTTCCGTTTCCGTCGGTCGTGTGCTTCATGGTGAATGCATACTTCGGGGTAGCAACATAGGGCCCACGTAGTACCAGTAAAACCCGCAAAGTTAGAAATTGAACCGGCGCATCAACTGCTAGATATGTCTTTTTTTTCTGCCTTTGCTCTGAGGCCACCTTGTCTTGTTCGTCTTTAAGATCGCACCCTAGATCACGTCAGATTAATTAGATTTCGTCAGTAGCGTAGCGACTTTGGCTGATTCGTGATGTGTCATAATTCGATGGTCTCTCGTTGATTCGCTTTGCTGTCTCGAATCGTTATCCATCATTGTTCAATCTGAGGTTGATTCAAGTACCCTGTAATCACGGTCACGCTTTCGTCGTGGCAACAGTTACACCTTGGGTACGAAATCAATTCACCCGCCATCTAAACTTCCTCGTAACCATATCTCTCATTCGGTTTGTCCAAGCCACCCCCGGGGTTCGTCGTGAGATTTTAGAGTAACCGTCTGTCTGACATATGTAGGCTTACCAGAGACAAAGGGTCGTCTGTGATAAACTTAAACGGTATTTATTAATTAGGAAGCTAAATTCTGCACTACATGTAGATCCATGTCAGAAGTTTGCACTTGCTTCGGCTTACACAAGGATTCGCAAGTAATTCCTTACGTTTACTTTGGTTGAGAAAAAAATCGTTCAGTTGCAGCACCCTTTCACTGTCTGACTTCCATGCCACCAGAAGGAGCTCGAGGGTTGGGATACTGTCACCTTCCCCAAGCCTGGACAAGGCAAGTTGAGAAGCAGAGTTCGAGTTCGAACCACGGACCTTCCGGTCAGTGAATTCGCGCTGTAACCACTGAGACATCTCGCCCCTACTTTGGTCGAGGAGCAATTCACACAGATAGTTTGAAGTCAGCAAACTATGTGAGAGTTTCGGGGCAGATATCCTCTCACTTCTTTCTTGTGTGGCTTCCGTTCTTGGACGACTGATCCCGAGTAGTTGCTTTCTGGGGACTTGTTAGACTATCAATGTGATCGACTTTGTCGGGTAACAACGAGCAGCCTGAATAGCACTTAAACTTCCCACAGTAGATCTTCCTCTCTTGTGTGGTAATCAAGCGAACAGGCTGAGGACATCTATAAAGAATTGCAAGTAAATTGCAAGCTCAAACCTATTGAATCAGAGCGCAACGTTAGACTGGTTTATGTCAGTTGATTCGTAGTCAAGGCAGAGCGAAGGCTGCCAATCCTATTTCCGAGGGAATATGTTATGTTACTGCGCGAAGTGTGCGAACAACTATCAAACCGGGTAAACTTGTCCGTACAATTCTGCAGTCGGATGACGTGATGAATGTACCATGTAATGTGGAAAAGAGTGCAATCCTTTCGACTGGTTTAGGGGGCTTGCGCCTACATGCTCGATCTGATGGGCGAATAAAACAATGGTCAAACTCAGGAATTCAATGAGGTAACGGGATTAATCGATATGACATATAAGTTCTATAATGCTCCTTAGCTAAGCTCTGCTACCGAGTTTACACCTTTGTGAAATGTAACAATAACCAGTCGCTAATAATCCATAGCGATCGATATCATTTATCTTGCCCTTCAACGCACCATCAAGATAAACAGATCTCCTTATAACCCATCCGACTACTCATCATTCCCCACCGCCTTACTGTCATAGTCCGCTTCCAGGGCTTAACTAGGTTCTTCCATTTGTCGGGAGAAATTTGATGCATTCACAGCTAGCGTCTTTCAAATTAGGCTGCTGATTTTAGGGTAACGTCGCCTCATGCTCATGGCCCACTGGGTCATGTCTTCAAGAATAGTGATCCCCCAGGAGAGGTCAGCCCGGAGTAAGCTCGTACTCGCCCTTTCCGAGGAACCGTGCACTAGGTCGCTGTTGATTCGAAGCATTGTTTTAGACTCTTCAATTGAGATGACGATTCGTCAAGGATGGAGATGAGTATACCCTGATTTCCTTCAGCCCAAATACCTTACCTTCGGCCAGTGGCCAAGTGATAGATGGGGTAAACCCTCCAAAGCGACTTGGGGAACGCGCAGAAGCGGTTAGATTGAAGTGTTTTCTCATTAACACCCACTCGCGTTGATCTTCCTTCCAAACTTCAAGTGTGTATTTCCCAGCACACTAATGGTGCCAAGCCTTGTTCCTATAAAAAAAATGCCGTTCCAGTTCGACACAGGCATCGTTTGACGCGACCGCTCTGTGGTTTCTGTGTACACATGGGGGCTGTGATGTAGCGTTAGTATGATCTGTTGGTATTTAAAGTACTCTTACTGGTTCGGCTGGTCCACTGTCCATTTTTATTTATTTTGGAATTTCGAAGTTGAAGTTCACACTTATTTTTGTATTTATTTGGGTGCATTGGCATGCTTTGATCCTTCGAAATCTCGTCAGCTCGTTTGTTGTCTCCCCCTGGTTGTTATCTCTGTTGTTTCACGTACATATTCCTCTGTTTGAGGTCAATCTCTGCTTGACTTATGTGGTTTTCTCACGTGTGCTCTCAGGTGGTTCTGAACAAACCAATATTGATGTTGATGAGCACCGATCCTCACCTAGCTCGGGTCGAACGGAGAAACGCCGGCATCACCATCATAATTCATCAGCGTCTGCCAGGGATGGCCATACCTCGAGCCGTCGGAAGCACCGGTCGCGAAGTCGTCGAACCTCGTCCAAAGATGCACCGAGAACTGCACGTAATCAGTCCCCCCAACACTCTGCTCCTGAGCAAAGGTTATCTGCAAATCTGGCTCCCTCACTTTCCGGATCTAGCACTGCAAATCTCGGCTCCCCTTCTGCCTCAAACCTTCGTCATATATTCCCCAGTAAATCACACCGCTAACCAGTTTGGTTTGCCTGATCTCTTGCGACTCGGTTACTACTCCCCTTGCCATATCATTCAGAAAATAGATTATTAATTTTGTTATTTTTTTCTATATACTACTTTCACACAAACCGACCAAAAAGCCTGCGTGATCTGATTCCTGACAATTAAATTGTCTCGTTTTCGCTCTTTCTCTCCACTGGTACCACTCCCATCTGTCACATGTAACTACAACCAATATCTGTCCGGTAACAACCAATTGCTGCTTTTCTGATATCGGCAACTGTTAGAAGCATGTTTATTTGCGTGCGTGCGTGTGTGTGTTTGTGTGATATGATGCAAGCTCATTCCATTCCCAATGATTTTGCCTGTACAGTTTGTTACAATCGAGGTCAATATTGGTCAAAGCCACTAGGTTGACGTTTTTCCAAGTTCACTGGTATGTCATTCGAAATAAGACAGTTGGGGTGGGGGCACATCTTCGCAATTTTTCCGAAACGAACAGCCAGCCTAATCGTCAGCCCAGAGTGAAAGCGACAAGTGTAAGAACCCCATCTTGGATTTCGTTTCACCAGCTGTTGAAAGCACTTCTATCAGACTTTGGTCTTTCCCAAGAATATTTCAAACTGCAATCCTTTTCAATTCATTGGAATGAGGAAATAGATTGTATACTTCTCATAATTTAAAAACTTCATTATTATTTCTGCGGCAATACTATGAAAAATAATTCCATGACGAAACTAATCTGTACTGTTATCCTCCGATAAAGCAAGGTACTCCAAGTATCTGTGGAGCAGATACTGTAATATTGGCGTCTTTTTGAGGATGGTACTAAACATTCCAGAACCATTAGGCATTCCAAAACACTATTTGAGGTGGAATATTTTCAGGAAAAGTGTAAGGTACAACATTGTCTTCACTCGGAAACAGCACGGAGAGTCAGGAACACATGACTGGATTACAATCAATGTACCCGAAGCTGTCTCAGAAACAAATTGTCAAATATTGGGCACGTTACCACAATATTCCGGAACACCAAGGTGTCTCCTGGACGAGATTCCCTTGGGCTAGATGTTTTATGTGGATTGTATCTGGGTAGTGTATTTCTGAGTTTGGTATGGGTGTCCCAAACAGCTTTTCTGGGTATCGTTTAAACCAGATATCCTATATTCGTGTGATTTGGGAATGCAAAGTCCTAGTACGACTTTGGGAACTCGTACAGTGCTATCCAACCCTCTTCATCCGGTCTGTTGTGTGCTACGTGATCAAACTCGCGACCCGCAGTATAGGATATTCTGTCACGAGTAATGTTGGTAATCGTCTTCTTGGAAGGAGCTTTATATGGAAATATACTTCTATAGAAGGACCAAATTACTGTTCTTCTGAGTGTGGCTTCTTAAAAGGGGAAATCGGTTTCAATACAGTATAGAAACTGGTAACTGTCGGAAAATTGGCAGATATTTCTTGATGTTTCATTATGTGCCTCAACTCGACAAACTTTAATCCACATTTGGTGCAGCCAGGAGTTCCTGGTAGGATAGCGTATCAGAAAGTTGAAGTCAGCTGACAGACCGAAGTCAGTGGTTCGTGGCGTTTCGGGTATAAGGTTGCCTTTTGGGGTATGCATCAGCCGACCTCTGAGCCAGTGTCTCACCTCCAGCACTGGCGGTGCGTGAGTTCCTCGACATAAGTTACGGTGGCAAGAAACTCGACGCCGCCATAATTGTTCTGCTTGCATTACTATATCGCATAGTGGTCGGTAGGAAACCCCGAGGACCCTCAAGGAACACCCCGGAAAATTGTCAATATTGCCAAATCTATGACACCCGGGCATGTAGTGGTTTCTGCCTTTTTTTGTCATCGATGACTGGGTGGAAACTAATGTTTTTCTGGCTTCTTGTAACGCACCTCCGGTCGCCCTCCATAGACAGGTTCGTAACGTTAAAGCCGAAATAAGCATTGGTACATACAGTGCTTTTTTCGCCAGTCTGCCTTGTTTATTCTCGCGATTTCGTATGGCGTGATTAGTGTACAGGTATAATCGGACAACTAGTAGTGGTTTCGAAATGTGAAACTATAACTCCATAAGTGTCACCTAACAAAGTATTCTGTAAGTACAGTAACTCGCAGTAGGCGACCGCACATTCTGAGTACACATTGTGTAGCATGAAACTCCAGGAAATAAGGTTTCCAAGACGAGTATCGTACAGATGTCAATATGCATCTCATGCAATCATGTCAGTCCCTAAGCGAGTTTTAAAATTCTCCGAATTATTTCGGTCCTTAATTACGTTTATCAGTCTTTGAACTGGACGCCGTAACAAAAAGTAATCCCTGTCGAAACGTCACCGAAGTCGTCTGCATTGAAGTTGGAAATGATTTGTACAGTTCGATAATCAAGACCCGTGTTTCCTCCTTAGGTGAGGATCTCTCACCTCACAAAGAGGATTTCTGTTGCTGATCTGTATGTTGAGCCTGAAAACTTTCAGGAAGCAGCTGCCGAGCGTTGTAAATTTCAAAAACGAGTGGGCATAGCCGAATTCCTGATAATGTCCAACTTAATCGTTTGTACTAGCAAGGATTCTTTGTTCAGCCACAGTATTGGTCGTATGTGCTAGGTCGTCTGGCAATGGAATGCCAATTTATGATACAAGATCAGCTACAGCAAAGAATGGCCTTTGTTTGAGAGCCCCAACAACACAATACTTGAGATCTGAAAGTCTATTCTACTTCTTACCCTCTCCGGTTTGGACTAAACAGAACAAGAAGAGGGGATATCTTTTCAGACGAGCGATGTCAATGCAAATTCCGCAAAACCCTAAAAACTTTTGTATGACTACCTCCGCGACCTTTTCGTATGTGCCAATGGACACCTGTGTTGGTAGCCTTTGCGGAAGTGATGATCACCCATCCGTGCAATGATCGTACGAATGCATTCGTGAACGAGTTTATCAGAATCCCTCTTCATTTGTCTCTGGTGCCTTTCATCCACTTTGTATTGCCAACAGACAATTGTTGAGTGCAGCACAGTCATATCGCCTATCACCGCATGAGTTGCTACTAGACACACCCATTGCAATAAAGACTAGTGCTGACACGCTCAGTGCATTGATTTCAGTTAGTACTGTAGCAAGTTTGCTAACATGTGATTTGAACAGTTTTCATCTTATATATGTGTATGTGTTTATTCGTATGACTATTCATCAACTGAATGTAAAATTGAAGATTCAGCAGGGATTCAGTTGAATCTTCCGTTAAAACCTATTTAGTTTCTGAATGAATGCACTCCGCGAATTGCGTAGAATTTTGGCTCAAGTAGGATATAAAGTTGACAGAAACTCTGGGAGTGCACCCAAAGGACAACATAGCAGATCGTGGGCCGTTCAATGATTTTCAGCAAACTTATGATTAGCATGTTCTCCAAGTTGTTTTAGTTCATTTACAGTGGATCCACGTGCGCTCCCCATGACGTAACTGCCAGAGTTTTTGAAATTGGATGTCTTATGGTGAGATTTCGTCTCATCTAGTTACAGTTCAATGTTGGATGTTCTGAACAGGAAATCTGCGCGTGTACATTGGTCGTTTTGTTCATGGTGACTTCCGACCGCGACTCTCAGAAAGCAATTTCGCTTTCACATCGCAGCCCTAGTGACCGCGGCATTTTTGAGCATCACAAATTGGAGGGAAGCACTGTGACGGATGGATGCTGCTGCGTAGGGAATAGAAAAACACTGGAGTTGTACTGCCTTAAGAGCGTTGCCTGTGGACAGCGGAATCAGTCAGACAGATGACTGGTACAGACAGGCGGTCATGTCAACTACCTTAAAAAGCGTGTTGTAGTTGTTGCTTATGTAATACAAACACGTTGTTGCTTTTCAAGTCGGCTGAATGAGTACCCCAAGAAATACCATCTCTTGGGTTTTGAAATGCAAGTGTCGATTCGTGAGCAGCCATCCACCTCTTCTGGTAAACTTACCACCGAGGACTCTCGGTGGGACTTTGATTGTTTACAAACAGTTGCTGTACTCCACTCGATCCATGTGGCTAATGTACCTTTTCAATAGTGGACATGGATGTTTTACGAAGAAAGCTCCCGGGATGCTGAAACAAGGACTGTTCCTGAGGGAATTCGGATCGACTGAGATATATTATATCTGCCGCTGACCTTTCCATGTACAAATGGGACACTGTAAACACCTATTGGTGTATCCTAGTTTCTGTCTCATACTTCCATACCCCTAGTTTCAGCTACCACCTCAGTTGCCTCCAGGAGAAAACAAGGCTTACAAGGTGGGTAGTCACGTTTTGGTTTAAAAGATTATGGGAAAGATTGAAGTTGGTATGTCCTTTGTCCCATATATTTTACCTACACTTTTGAAATCCCCCTAATTTGATAATAAATTTAGAAAGCTATAGCGAGTTTTAAAAATTTTTGAGAATGTTGTCTTGTTAACCAGACAGTTGTCCTGAAATCGAATGGATTACACCGGTTTGATCCAACGATGAGTGCGAGTTAGTACCATGACCCCTAAACAGGGGATACCTGGTCTTGTGTCCACTACGTCCATGAAAACTTGGCCTTAAGAACCCAAATGGGTGTATGGATAGTTACAAAAAGGCACTTTAACCCGAGCTTCGGTTCTGTACCAAATTTCTAGGAATAGTCATCTGGTACCCATCCAGTTTCCTTATTTCCTTTTGAAGCCTTATTCCTCGGATCCACTGAGCAATTGAAAGCAATGCTAAGTTAGGTAGACAAACGTATTCCTGAACAGACTGGTGTAATTCACTTTTCCAGATGTTTGCCGCCAACTTCAAAACATGGAGTAATATCCAGCTTTTACATTTTCTAAATGGTTTTTATTTTTCTGATTATCTGGGTTAGTCTTTTCGTACATACCCAGAAACATTTAACCACATTCCGATATTCGCATGGCTTGCAAATGTCCTTGGACACGATGGAATGCCTGGTTGTCGTCGGTGGACGCTGAACAGCTGCCACCTGGTCCCAATACATCACCTGGCACATTGGGACCCATATGGCAAACAAAGTGATTATTTGTGGTGTATACCGTCAGCTTGTTCGATGCCGGCAATGACAAACTGGAGCGAAGTTCACAACAGCGAAGGTGTTCATTTCGGCTTTCACTAAATAATACGTGATGTTTGTCATCCGTAGCGAACGCAGATTGAGTATATCTTACTCATACTGTTTTAAGTACATGTGACGACCTACATTCATATTGTATTTAGTCACTGAATGTAGCTAGACCACCTGATTGGTTGCTTGTTGGTGGTTGCCTCTGTGCAAGTACATTAAGTGACGTGTGTGAAAGAATCTCGAGAAGATTTCCATCGCTCCATGTTAATTTCATCTGCTTATAGTCCAATGGATCTGTCACTGGATTTAATGAGCTCCAGGTGTTCTTTTAAAATGGGGTAAAAGCTCAGACATCGTTGTGGTTACTGTGACAAGAGTACAAGTAGACAGGCTTAGCGCTGCTGCAGCCCAACTCAATGGTCGTCTTGGATCGTATACGATACGAGCGGACAACGGAGGACGCGTGCTGCGGGTGTGTACTTAACACAGACTGTTCATTTGCAGTGCC